CTATTTGTTCTCTGAAGGAAACCACCTCAGTTCCTTTTAACTTCTCCTTTGAGATCCTACACACTACCCATTTGTTTATCTTGCTCTTTAGGGATAAAATCAAGAGCTGAACAATGCCATGTAGTATAGGTCAGACAATGCAATCTCTAAACCATAGTGCCTTTATACTGTTCTCATATTTCTTGCATATTGGGACAGTATTTTTCTTAACATGACACTTAATCTCATTAAACTTCTCAGGCTACAGCCCCAGTGTAAACAGCCGCCATCATCTATGGCCACAGTCTTTGTGTCGCATCCATTGCACGGACTCTTCTCACATGGCGGTCAGAGGGATCTTTTGGAAGCATAAATCAGACTTGTGTCACACTGCTGCTCACACACAGAGAGGAAGCTAGTGGCCTTCCTGTGGTCTGCAAGGCCCCGAGCAGCCTGGCTGTGGCTGGCCCCTGCCTCGCCCCTCCCACACTCCCTTCCCCTCTGTCCACTCCACATTGGCTGTCATCTCCTCCTGCCTGGAACAGACTGTGCTTGGCACTTGGGGTTCCTTCGACCAGCAACGCTCTTCCCTCGGACGTCCCCCAGGCTCCTCTCCATCTTCAGGGCTCTGCTCGGGAAGGCCCTCCCTGACATCTGATGACAAACCTCCCCTGCCCTGCACAGCTTCCTTGTTCTTTTTAGCACTTTTTACCACTGAAATGGTTTCTGTGTTCATATCTCTCAGTCTGTGAGGGTGGAAACCTCCCAAGGGCAGGTAATTATCTGTCTAGTTTACCCAATACCCTCAAGCAGAAGCTAGCTGTTCCTTATTGGATAGAGGAAGAGATGGGAGGGGGGAAGAGGAAGAGAAGGAAAGGAATTTAGGAATTGTCTGGTTCTAAAATACGTAAGAAAATCTGCTAAGAAAAAGGGCACATCCCTTTCTATACTCTACTATTTTTTGGTATTTTGATCTATTTCTATAGTTTGTTTTTTTTTATACTTTTATCTGGGTTTTTCTGAATTATTATAATTGCTTAATTTGATTTCCTAAAATTTTCATTTAAAAAATTATCAAAAATAAAAAATACTACTGTACAATAATGTACTGAATTCACAGAATTTTCAAAGAAAAATACATAAAAAATACTATTGCTATAACTGTGGTATCAAGGAGTGGATATTGGAGTTAAAAGCATACCAGTATTTCTCATAACTTTCAATATGGCTGACACAGTAACTTTTTTTAAATCATATTATTCATCACTCTAAAATTTACAGTTTTAACAACTGCTTCTTGGCAAACAGTCTTAAGTTTAAAAGTCTGGGAAAATGACAGTGCAATTTACATCTTAAGATAATCATTTTGACACTTGCAGTTTCTGTATTAGTGAACTTTCTGCGGAACAGAATTCCTCCAGGCCCACCCTTTCCTCCTCTGAGAAAGAAAAGAGCTGGACTCAATGGCCATAGGGCCCCTGCCAGCTCAGTCCTGCCTCATTTCTATGGCTTCATAACCTGCAGACAGATCCTTCCAAAGGACCCTTTGTGCTGACTTGAGGATGTCCGGAAAAGGCATCCAGCACACAGGCCTGGTAACACAGACCCCCAAGATTTCTAGGAAGGAAGTGTGCCACTAGTGCGGTCTGCAGTGGCCTCGGTGGACTGAGACCACAGCCAGGTGAGCAGTAAGGGCAGGCTGTCTGCTTCAGGATCAAGGCTGGGGGAGAGGAACATGGAAAGGATGGACTGAACCGAGAGACTGTCTTTCCGATGCATTAAGGAAGAGAAGGATTAGGAAGTGGCACTGAGGTGCTCTGGTCTGTGGCCGAGAACCTGTAAGAACACCTCAGAAGCTGAAGTGCTATGAAGATGTCCATTGTGGGAGAAGAGCACAGGAAAAGACCTAATGCACTGTTAACCTTTAGGGATAGCATAAACAAAAAAAACACCAAACAAAAACCAAGGGTGAAAATGAAAACACTTCGCATAAGCATATTGGCTGCACTATTTTTTCAGTCACTCTGACAATTTATCATCCTATATAATAAAAAGCTAATATGCAAATTGTCCCTTTGGAAGTTCGACCAACCAGGAGCCAGGAGTTCGACCACTCGCTATGACGTGTACTGACCACCAGGGGGCAGCACGAAATGAAGGAAGGCCCTGGCAGGCAGCCAGCAGCTGGGAGGAAGGAAGGCCCCGATCAGCCCTGATCGCCGGCCAGGCCTAGGGACCCTACCTGTGCACCAATTTTGTGCACTGGGCCTCTAGTTTAAAATAATTGTTTTTCCAAATGAATTTAAAACTTCAAGCTTGAAGCAATAAAAGTGAGTTAACAGCATTTTGGAGCAATTAACAAACTGTCCTGGGCTTATGAGGAATGATACTATAACACTCCAGTTATACTGCTTTTTCACAAAACTGTTCTCATTAAAGCAATTTGACCACTTACTCTTAATTCAAGAACATTTTTAAAACCAATAATTACAATAAATTAATTATCAAAGTACTGAATACTTACCTTCTTCAAAATTCACAGAAACTGTTACAAAAGACTGATTATCATCTTATTGTTAACTTTGTAAAGCCAATAATAAATGAAGGCTGTAACATTTTATTTATTATGTTGTAAAATGGAATCATCTGTTTTATAATACTAATTAATTTGAAATAAACTTACCATGTCTTTTTATTCATTGAAAGCTCCATTATCATACGCCTAAAAATAATCAAAACAGCTTTACAAGCATCAACTTGTTCTTTCAGAGTATGGGGACTTCAGCACATGGTTCCAGCAAAAAGACATTTGCAGCATTTGTCAAAAACACCTTAAAAAATAGACAAATTTTACTTTAGAAAATATTAAACATATAAATATGAACAAATATTGCTTAAAGATAATATTACCAATTTTACTTTACCAATGAATCACTTTTGAGTTATTTCAATTAAGGCAAAAATACAGTGCCAACATATACTCAGGCCTTTTTTTCATTCCTCTCCTAGAATCACTCAAATACTGAGAAACCTAAAAGACCATTCCTAGAAAAAAATTACTATTACATATTACTGTTGTGACTTTAGAAATTTTATGAATCAGAAAAACTTTTGAAAAAAATTTTGTATATCCCCTCCCCCCAAAAAAAGATAAGATAGGATAACATCACTGCCTCTGGGTGAGAAATGTTGGGGAGAGGAAGAGACACTGTGGTCAGAAAGTGGCTGGAAAAAACTATCTGGTTATTGTTGAATCTCCCAGAACATGAACAACTTGCTGACAGAAAGCACGGCCAGCACCACACAAGGGTGGGCCTCTAGGAGCTGTGGCATGCCAGGACACAGCCAAAGCCACATGATCGACATTGCACATATTCCAGGAGCATATATTTTTAAGGTAAGAACTATACTGTGCAGTAAAATATAAAACCTAAGTGAATCCTATATAATAAAAGCCTAATATGCTAAGTGTCCGGTTGTCCGTTCAACCAATCAAAGCGTAATATGCTAATGATATGCTAAGGCCGCTAACACGTGCACTGACCACCGGGGAGCAGATGCTCTGACTGGTAGGTTAGCTTGCTGCTGGGGTCCGGCTGATCGAGATGGGCCAGATACGCCCTGGAGCCCTCTCTCGGTCTCTCCCACGTCCCTCCCCAGCCCTGATTGTGCACCAGTGGAGTCCCTTGGCCTGGCCTGCGCCCTCTCATAATCCAGGACCCTTTGGGGGATGTCAGAAAGCCAGTTTCGGCCCGATCCCGCAGGCCAGGCCAAGGGACCCCACTGGTGCACAAATTCGTGCACTGGGCCTCTAGTTCTTAAGATAAAAGAAAATTTTGAAAAAAATTTAGATACTCAGCCAACCATTCTATGCTCTACCTCAGAACTTTAGGATACAAGTTTACTGTCCTCTACCATTAGGGGTATTTCAGCAGAAATTAGAAGAAGCACTAACCAAGGTTATCATGCAGTAAATTTATGCTTAGGGGCACTACAATAAATAACAATGAGCTACTATTTAGACAGATGACACTAGCAAAACCTCAATTTAGGAAATTCTGAGTTGTCAATCCAGTAATGAGGATGGATCTGCTCCATATATCTAGAGCTATATTCCATACTAGGTTTCTTCTGTGTTCAACAGTACAAATTCAAAGGATCTGGGAATAAATGGAACTTCTCTGGCTTACCCATGGATGAAATCCATTAACAACATCTTAAAACAGATGCAAAAACTGATCTGAGAAATGAACATACTTCAAACATACTTTAGTTCAAGTGTATGAACTAAAATGTTGACAGTCTCAAAAATTATCTTTTGCAATATTTAAAAGGAGTGATGACAACATTTTCTAGGAAGAATTATTAAATGAGCACTATAATACTTGATAATAGATAACAGTAACGAGAAAGAATTTACTAGCCTTCAAGAAAGAAAAAAGAAACCAAAGAACTTTTTGAATCATAAACTAAAGAAGTTTTAGTGACTGTTTTGAAAAGAAGTATGCCCGGCCTAGGTGATATGTTTTAATCCAGATCCTTTTCATTCAATGTATTGGCTTCTTGATTTGAACTTGAAACTTTTGCATATTCCCAAGTAAAAATGCAAAGGTCTTCATATATGGGGCAAAAGCAGGTTTACAGTTGTGAATACATGAAATACAAAGTTTATTCTTGTATTATTTATTAATTATTGTTACTATTTTCCATACAAGCAACTGTAAATCTACCCTTGCCCCACCCAGTATTATACTTGTTTCATTTTACTTTTAAAAAATATATCAAAATGCCAACTACATGAATATTTCTTTATGACCATGTTAGTTTCTGGTAAGGTAAAAATAAAAATTATGCCCATATTGTAACTACCAAAAGCAACTACAGAGGAGTACTATCTTATCAAACCTCCATTTGGCCACTTTTTTCCCCAATGAACCAAGCAGAGGGCCAGAGTACTGGATACAATGAGAATAAAAACAGCCATTTAGATCCAAACTAAACTTTTTAAGAAATCTATAGTGCTATAAGCCAGTAGAAAATTATTTTCTTGGTTCAGCCAAGTAGATGTAACTTAGCCTTTCAGAAAACAAATAAGACTCTTCTGAACCCAAGGAAATAACTGGCACCTGCAACCCGGCCGACACTGGGATGGCTGACGATGGCAATCTCAATCCCTATTTCTGAGATAAAATCTTGAGGTCTGGGGAAATTAAGTAATGAGCCAAAGTTGTTCTTTCCAATGTTCTAAATGGTATCAGTTCTATTTCATAAATCCATTCAGATAACTATTAAAATTATTGCATAATTCATCATTCTTCATAAACACAGACAATTTTTAAGAAGAGGAGTATTACTGATGATTATATAATCAACCACACTTATCTTGCAAACTAGAGTCCAGGTAACTAATTACCCATATGTGTCCCAAAGATACTTTTAAGATATAAATCTCAGTCATTTCACATTTACTGTATAGTAATCCCTCTTTAAAATGTGAAACTTGTTCATATGTTTCCTTTGAATAGAAAAAATTATTTACAAATTGAAAGTGAGAGATCAGGAAGAAAACTTAGAATGAGAATTTAAGAGCTGTTTACTGACAGAGGCTAAAAATACCAAACTTTATAGGATGCTATCTCAATACACAAATGTTCACATTGACTCCAGTTGGGGGCCTTTCTGCCTCTGGCCAGCCGGCAGCGTACCTGCAGCACAGCCTGGGCCCCGGCTTTCACGCTCTTGTTCTCCTCTTCTGCCACACACCCTCTGCTCACCGCACTCGTGAAGGAATATGTTCGTCCCCAACTGGAAGACCGCTTATGACCGGAACTTTCAGGTGCAGTCTTTAAAAAATAATTAGTTAACAGAGGGGGAAGAAGTACATGTTTGAATATTTAATTCTTACATTAAGCAGAATTCACGGGAAATAGATTCTGGGAGGCAAGGTTTGTGTGTGTGTGTGTGTGTGTGTTGCCATTTTGTTCACCACTCTGTCTCCAGCACCTAAAATAGTACCTGTCAGTTATTATGTGTTGAAAAAGAAAACAAACATCCAATGACTAGATGAGCACTTATCCTTTAAATTTAAAATATGTGATTAATTCCATTTGCTCATCTATTAATTCTGACCTGAATATTTGAAAAATCAAAATTATCCTATATAAGCCTATATAATAAAAGGCGGCTCAGAACGAAGGAAGGCCCTGGCCTGCAGCTGGCAGCTGGGGTAAGGAAGGCCCCAATCAACCCTGATCGCCAGCCAGGCCTAGGAACCCTCCCCGTGCACGCATTTCTTGCACCGGGCCTCTAGTGTAATTAATACAGATATTTAAAAGAGATATGCCTTTGGTCACAAATATTTTTAAATATTTGCTGTCAATTGCTATGACAAACATCTACTTTTAGAAATAATTTCTCAGACTAGGTTTCAAATTAGCATGCCAGAAATATAAATAAGACTTAAGTTTCTTTTGTGGTTCAGGAAGAGGTCCCACTCTGTGGTTTTACATTAATCCAGCCTATAGCTTTATCAAACACAGACTAAGAAGTCCATGCTGCGAGCACCCACTTTCTGAGAATGCTATTTATTTAAACATGTCAATGATAAGGCAATGACATTTTTAGGCTCATACAGAGATGTGTAAAATATGATAGCTGATTAAACAACTCTTGTGCAATGGTGGATAATGAAGCTGCAATGCACAAGTGGACCTAGTGTGAGGGTTAGGAGATAGCTGATTAAGGCAGCCTCACTGAAGCAGGTCCTCAGAGAACTCAGCAACTTGAGAGTATCAGAAATGATAAAAAAAAAAGAGACCCGCCTGCCTGGGATCTCTGACTGAGCCAGGTGTACTTTACTAAACTATATATACTCCCAAATGAAACAAGAGATAAAATATTACCTCCTTGCTGTCAGTCTCAGAAAATCCTAATTTTTCAGCATCTTCTTGGGTAACTTCCTTTTGATCTGGTTCCTCCATGAACAGAGGTTTGTCCTGGAGGATCCACTTTCTGTACACTTGGACTACTTTTCTTGTTACAGCTATGTCACAGGAAGGCAACAAAAATGCCTGAAATGAAAAGAGAAAACTTCCCTTAACGCTATACAAGTTCAGATTACTATAGAGCCACATAGAAATTTCCAAGCACCATCACCAATTTCAGACTTTCCTTTAAAACATACAGCTGGTAATATGCTACAGGGGGTCACATATTTTTGTGCACAACAAATTTATCTAAAGAAAAATAAGCATTTTCATAACTGTGCCAGAAAATATAATGCAATTTAAAAATAACTTCTATATTCTGAATAATTTTTCCACAAAAATAACCAAAATACAGACCTATAGAGATAATCCAATTGCCTATTAAACAACAGCCAAAAAACAAAACAAAATAAAAACAAACAAAAAACAGCCAGTTGCGGCCAATTGTCACATCTCTTCTCAACTCCATGTTCAGTGACATCCATGTTGCTAGCTTGAATTAGCCAAGGTGAAAGTATTTACACCACAGAAATCTGCAAATGCTACCATCTACTTTTCTTTTTTTTTTTTGTCTTTGCCTTTCCCTTTCCTTGTCGTTCATTCTTTCTTTCCTTCCTCCTTCCCTCCCTCCCTTCCTTTTTTCAGAGCCAGTTGTTCAATATTTACCACACACCACTGAGTAGAAATACCAATGTTAATGAAAGCCCTGGCCAGTTTAGCATTATGCATATTTATGTGAACTTTTTAATGTTAAAGAACCCCCTTATGTATCATAAGAACTTTGATATAATGTAATAAATTTAAAAAATGTAAAGGGAAAATACATTTGCCTTTTTAGTAATCACTTTAAGAGATAGTTCTGTATGAGGGGTGAACACAAAGCAGCACTCAATACTCTGATGAATGCTTTAATTCCATAGATGAGAATTAAGATGGGACTCAGAACAACTGAGAGATTTTCCCAAGGTTATAAAGTTAATTAGCAATGAATCCACATTCTGATCTCAAGTTTCAGAGTTTTGTTTTAACACCATCCTAAAGCTTCATGCTTCAGGATCCAGTTAGAGGCAGAGTTCAATGCGACAAGGGTTTATGCAATTTATATTAATTTCCATAGATGGTGGTCATGTCCCATCAAATGCCAGAACAGGGGAGATTGTGTTATAACAAGACTGCAGCATATCAATGTACCAAATATTGTATCTGTTGCAAGAAAGATCAACAAAGACAAAGAAGAGTATGACAAAAATATGCTGATGTCCTATTCTAATTTTGTTCCAAAATGTTATTACAAATATTTCCACACAAACAAAAAGTTAGAAGACTTTTACAATGACTACTCATAAACCCATTCACTAAATTCTACCATTAGCATTTGCTCTAATTGCTTTATCACACATCTGTCAATCCACCTTTCTCTATCTATCCTTCCAATCCATTTTATTTTTCATGCATTTCAAAGAAAGCCACAGGCATCAGTACATTTCACACCTAAACATTTCAGCATGTATATATCACTGATGAGAGCTCAAAATTATTTACCATACTTTAGGTAAAATTTATAAACAATGAAATGCACAAATGTTAAATGAATCATTTGATGAGTTTTGACAAATGTAGACAACTATGTAACACAAATCCAATACCAAGGTATACCATGTTATCCTGCCCCAGGAAAGCAAATATAAATCCTCTCTGGAGGAAAATCAAATAATAATAAAACCAAAATTTTTTGTATGAATCATCTGGTTAATATGATATGTAGCATATTAAAAAAATGAGAAACATGAGAAAGTCAATATTAACAAAACCACAATAAAAATAGGTAACAGGCCATAACCGGTTTGGCTCAGTGGATAGAGCGTCAGCCTGCAGACTGAAGGATCCCAGGTTCAATTCCGGTCAGGAACATGTACCTTGGTTGTGGGCACATCCCCAGTGGGGGGTGTG